TAAATAAATTAATTAATTAAATAAAATCTTTAAAAATAATAATAAAATAAATTAAAAAAAAACTGTGTGGGAGAGCAGAGGTAGATGATGGAGAAAAATTAAAAATTCAGGAGAGGAGCGCCTGGCTGGCTCAGTTGGCAGGGCATGTGACTCTTGACTCCCAAGTGAGGTGGGAGCCACAGAGGACTGTGAGCAAAGGAGGGACGTGACTGGACTCAGGCGTCACGGACGCTCTCTGGCTGCTATGCGGGGAACAGACTGTGGCGGGTGAGGGTGGGAGCCGGGACACCAGGGTGGCAGTGACCTCCAGGTAGGAGATAAGGGGGAGAGGTCAGCCAGGGCCAGATCTTATGGTGCCTTAAATGCCAGAGGGAGGAGTCCAGCATTTACACTTTCTCCTGAGAGCAGTAAGGAACTGTGGAATGGCTGAAAGAGCCCGTAGTAGAGGTACCAAAAGTTATCATTTCTTCTTCCAGAGGAGAAGAAGGTCTGTCCCACTAGACCTTGCTTATATTCCCCTTCCTCTGGGAAATCCTCTCAAACGCCCTTCCCCACAACTGGATGGGGGCCTCATGGTGGATTTCTACCACACCTCGTACTTTCCCGTTGGTGGCTGATCCTTCAAGAGCTCTGATGGGTGTGCTGGGTGATGTGAAACATGCCCAGTAGAAGAAACAGTATGTGTAAAGAGCCCAGACAGCCTGATATGTTTAAGGAAACAAAAGATCTTAAGAGTAACTGGAGTGTCAGTTTCAAGAATTTGAAAAGGGAAGTAGGAATTGAAAGTGGAGCATAATTGTCAGAGTCCAGGTCATAGTTACTATTTTTTTTAAGATTTATTTATTTTAGGGTGCCTGGGTGGCTCAGTTGGTTAAGCGACTGCCTTCGGCTCAGGTAATGATCCCGGAGTCCCTGGATCGAGTCCTGCATCGGGCTCCCTGCTCGGCGGGGAGTCTGCTTCTCCCTCTGACCCTCCCCCCTCTCATGTGCTCTCTCTCATTCTCTCTCTCACAAATAAATAAATAAAATCTTAAAAAAAAAAAGATTTATTTATTTTAGTGAGGCAGGGGAGGGGCAGAAGGAGAGGGAGAGAGAGAGAATCCCAAGCAGACTCCCCGTTGAGCGCGAAGTCTGACTTGGGGCTCCGTCTTACAACCCTGAGATCATGACCTCATCCTAAATCAAGAGTCAGTTTAACCGACTGAGCCCCCCAGGCGCCCCCCAGGTCATGATTATTCTGTGCTGAGGGGGTTGAGCTTTCTCATGGGGCAATGGGGAGCCATGGAAGGTTTAAGCCAGAGAGTGAAACAGATTGGTTCTTTAGGAAGTTGTCTCGCCAGGAGGCAGTCTCCTTCTGTGGGTGGCAATACACTTGGACCCAGCAACTTTGGAAAGCCATTGGCATCATCCAACATTGTTGGAACATCCATTCCCTGAGGCCACACAGTTCCACTTCTAGATATTCATTGTTCAGATGCTCAGCTCATGTGTTCTAGGAGACACATAAGAGAATGTTCGGAGCTGCTTCATGTATCTTAGTGAAAAGTGGGAGACCGTCTCAAAGTACCCTCTGTAGGAGAACACACAAATTGCAGTAAGGTTGAATGCTGGAAAGCTATACAATCAGGAAAAAGGAAATTAAGCCAAAGTTACACACATCATTTGTGGAGTGTTTTGGGTTTTTTTTTTATTTAATTTTTTTAAGTAATCTCTACACCCAACATGGGGCTTGAACTCATGACCCCAAGATCAAGAGTCACATGCTGTACCGACTGAGCCAGGCACCCCTCATGTATGAGGTTTTAAAACCTGTTGTAGGGGCGCTTGGGTGGGTCAGTCATTAAACATCTGCCTTTGGCTCAGGTCACGATCCCAGGTCCTGGGATCGAGCCCCACATGGGGCTCCCTGCTCAGTGGGAAGGCTGCTTCTCCCTCTCCCATTCCCCCTGCTTGTGTTCCTGCTCTTGCTCTTTCTCTCTCTGTCAAATAAATAAATAAAATCTTTAAAAATAAATAAATAAGGGGCGCCTGGGTGGCTCAGTCGTTAAGTGTCTGCCTTCGGCTCGGGTCCTGACCGAGCCCCGCATCGGGCTCCCCGCTCAGTGGGAAGCCTGCTTCTCCCTCTCCCACTCCCCCTGCTTGTGTTCCCTCTCTCGCTGTTTCTCTCTCTGTCAAATAAATAAATAAATCTTAAATAAATAAATAAAACCTGTTGTAACATGAAAAAGTAAATTGTAGAAGGACACCTTTGTGTAATATTGCATTTAGAGTTTATAACATTTGAGACTAGGTCACAGAGGATATGGGAATGATAAACTGTAGTTCGGGAGTATGGTTAACTCTTTGTGGGAGGGGAAAAGAGGTGGATGTAGGCAGGGGCAAGTTTTATGTCTTGTGGCTGTACTTTGGTGTTGATAAATTATTCTGAATGGACTTAGATAACATTTTCAAGTGATGTGTATAAAAGGATGCCTTGGGTAGCCGGTGTGGGGAATGGCAGCAAGTCTGGAGGCTGGACTAGGGCTGGGCTTTGGATTTGAAGGATCCCAGAGATGGAGGATGCGGAAAGAGCAGGCCTTGGGACCCATCTGACGTGGGTTGCGGGCAAAGTGGAGAACAAGGACCAAGTCCTAGCTTAAAAAGCTGGGCAGACAAGAGGCAGGTCTGGGGACCTGGGATGAGGCCCCTTTAGAACAAGGCACGTCTAAGGGGGCTGTGATGTCCAGGGGGAGACAGCCAGGAGGTAGTTGAGTATTCCTCCAGAGTTGGAGTTCAGAGACAGACCAGGCAACGTGTCAGCAGTTTGTAGAGTTGGGCTGGTCGGTCTGGTGTAGGTTCTTGCTGAAGTTAAAAGCAGCCCCCCACATTTTCCTGGGTCAAGACAATGAAGGTTTACCTAAAATCTAATGCAGGTCAGATGATTCACCTCTGTCTCGAGGCTTTGGCACAAGGGGTCTCTAACATCCCTGAGGCAGAGGAGATGGTAAGAGTTTATTTCCAGGCCTAGAAATCTGTGTGTCCCTTTCGCCAACATCCCATTGGCCAGAAACTGGTCCTGTGGCCCCATCCCAGCTGCAAAGGGGAATGGGAAATGTAGTCTGTGAAACCACAGCCTGGTCACCATGTTGCATTGTCCTCTGTGGGCAGGAGGAGGCCCAGGGAGGGAAGGCCTGTGATGGGAAACAGCAGGTCTGGGCGTCCACAAGGCAGATGGCAGCAGATGCTGCCTCCTGACCCTCTTTCTCTGTTCCTGACCCTCTGTTCCAGGCATCACTCCGTCCTGCCTCAATCTCTTTGCTCTGTTCGATGCCCAGGCTCAGGTCTGGCTGCCCCCAAACCACGTCTTGGAGATCTCCAGAGACATGAGCCTGACATTGTACTTCCGCATGAGGTGGGTGATGACCCCTTGGGAGCCTTGTCCCCTTTTGTTCTGTCCCCTTGCTCCCCTGCACCCCACCTTCCTGGAACTGGTCTAAGTCCACGCTAAGCCCCAGCTGCGACCTCTCCATCCCGTCTTGCAGGTTTTATTTCCGGAACTGGCATGGCACGAATCCTCAGGAGCCGGCTATATACCGCTGTGGGCCCCCAGGGCCCAAGTCTTCCTCAGAACAGACAGAGCAGGGGATGCAACTGCTGGACCCAGCCTCCTTTGAGTACCTCTTTGAGCAGGTGTGTGTAGGGCTGGGGAAGTAGGACTATTTGTGAGGGACTTAAGGGTAGTTGAGGAGCCCCCCATCTCTCCCCAGTTCACTAAAGCTAATAGATTTCAACTCATGCCCTCTTGGATCCTTTGGCCACCTGAACCGAAGGGTCCTGAGACACAGGATTGCACGGGAAAAAGTGCTGTGATCAATTCGTGATGTCTGCCACAGGCCGAGAGTTGAACAGAGGAGGCATGCGTGCTGTGTATTTGACCTTTCCGGAAAACGGGTTCCCTCCCATCCCCAGGGTGGACAGAAGCTGGGGAGCGAACGGGTGCTCATGCCTCCCTTTCTGCCCAATCCCCCCCAATCCCCAGGGCAAGCATGAGTTTGTGAATGACGTGGCATCACTATCGGAGCTCTCGAGCGAGGAGGAGATCCACCATTTTAAGAATGAGAGTCTGGGCATGGCCTTCCTGCATCTCTGCCACCTTGCTCTCTACCATGGCATCCCCCTGGGGAAGGTGGCCAAGAAGATCAGGTGTCTGGGAATGGGGCGGGCACGGGCGTCTGGGAGCCGCGAGAGACCTTGCAAACTGCCGTGTCTTCATTCGGCACTTATCTAGTACCTGCTTTATACCTGTCGTGTTAGCAGCACTAGTTCTGGGTGTTGGGGCCACAGTCGTAACAAGTCAGACAGCAGCCACTGTCCTCCTGGGCTCACATCTGGTGAAGGAGACAGGCAGTAAACAAAATACAGAAGTGAAAGGTCCAGTGCTTCCAATGGTGATAAATGCAGAGGCAGGCAATTAAGCAGGAAAGGAGGAAGAAGGAGAGCGTCAGAGAGGGAGGGGTGTACAGTTTCAACTTGGGTGGTCCGGGACTTCCTCACTGAGAACGTAGCATTCAAATTCAAAGGTGTGAAGGAAGTGAAGGCGGGAGGCTTGCTAGTGTCTGGGAGAAGAGCATTCTAAAGAGACGGCACAGGCCGTGCAAAGACCCTGAGGCCTGCCTGATACGTTGGAGGATGTGTGGCTGGAGCAGAGTGAGCTTGGAGAATTCCTTAGGATTCTGGGGAAGGACAGACACAGGAGTGTGGGGAGCTGGGAGCCAGCTGTGGGCTCCGCCGTTGCTGTGAGGGCCCGGGTAATCAGGGTACACTGCCTGGAGGAGGTAGTGGGAGATGCGGATCTTTGAGGACCAGCAGTCCTTCTTAAAGCATGCATCTTTCCGTCCCTGTTGCGTTATCACTCTGGAAGACTCGGGCCGGGACAGCGAAGTCCAGGGTGCTGGCAAGCCCAGAGGAAGTACCCTCTCTAGCCTGGATGGCAGAAAACGCTTCCCGGGGGAGGTGACATTTCTGCTAAGACCTGAAGGTTGAGTCAGCTTTATCCCGATGTGGAATACATTGGCAAAGCATTCTAGGCAGAGGGAAAAGCATATACAAAGGCCCAGGGGCAGTAGGCAGCAAAGGCCTGTTTCTTGGGGATCTGAGCTTGGAATACGAGGGCCCGAGAGCAGGAGTCCACGAGGCTCTAGTCAGGCGGCCTTTCTCCCAAGGGCCGTTGGGAGCCCTAGGAAGCCTGGAAGTGGGGACAGGAGGCAGCTAAAACCTCGAGCTTTAGGATCCCTCTGGTCAAGGGGTGGGAGAGAGGGACGTGGAGAAATCTGTTACGTAAGGGAGCTCTACTGGTTTGGGTGCCGGGCAGGCAGTGAGGGAAGGCGTGAGGGGGTGGGGCTTTGGGAGGAGCAGAGGGAGATTATCTGTTGATAATCATAACTCCGGTGATAAAGCAATATGACTTCTCCAACAGTGACAGCCCCTGATGGTCACATCTTCCTTAGGATGTGCCAGTCAGCCGCCCTAATTGTCTCAGCCTGGAGCTGGGCCCTGTCTGACCCCACCTTATGGAAGAGAAGACAGAGCCCTTTAGGGCCTAAGGAGGTTGTCCAAGAGCTGGGATTTTAGCCCCCTCGTCTCCTCTGGAATTCTGACCCCTCCCAGCCTCCCTGCGCCGGCCCTTCCTTGTGTTCTTGTCCGCCCTGCATGACAGCCTGCCCATTTTCTAGACGAGGCAGCTGAGGTTCAGAGAGGCTAAGCCACTTGCCCAATGGCACCCAGCTAGGCCTGCAGCCCCGGGCTCCTGACCAGCCCTTCCTGGTTGCCCCCCCAGCTTCAAGGACTGCATCCCACGCTCCTTCCGGCTGCAGATCCAGCAGCACAACGCGCTCACGCGGCTGCGCCTGCGGAACATCTTCCGCAGGTTCGTGCGGGCTTTCCAGCCAGGCCACGTGTCGCAGCAGGTCATCATGGTCAAATACCTGGCCACGCTCGAGCTGCTGGCACCCCGCTTCGGCACCGAGTGCCTGCCCGTGTGCCACCTGGAGCTGCTGGCCCAGGCCGTCGGGGAGCCCTACTACATCCAGGACGGCGGGCAGGCTCCCCCAGAGCCTGGGCCGGAGTTGGCCACCGGGCCCCCCACTCATGAGGTGCTGGTGACGGGCACGGGTGGCATCCAGTGGCGGCCGATACAGGCAGAGGTGAGCAGAGTGCCTCCTCCATCTAGCGGTCCAGGTCAGGCTGGGGCTGGGGCTCCTGCTCAGCTTTGGCCTTGGCCTCTGAGGGGGACTGCCGTGAGCCTTTTCCCCACGTGGCTCTGGGCTATGTCTGTCTGTCCCCTGGGGTGGTTTTTTGGGGAGTGTCCTCTGTCTCTACCCCCTGGGGACCTAATTTCTGGGGTCTGCACCTCTGAGGAGTCCCTGTCTGGTATCTGGGGGTGCGAGGGCCTGGCTCTTCCTGTCTTCCTCCCTGAGGTTCTGGCTTCTGGCGTGTGGATCTCTTGGGGGAGGGTCCCCATCCCATCTGTGACACAGACTCGAGTGGGGATGCCTGAGGAGCGTCCCCGGTCCCTCCAGCTCTGGCCTCCCCCCAGGGAGAATGTGTGGGAGACTAAACGGGCATAGCCCTGTTTCATCCACCTGCCCCACGTGCTGGGTTTCCAGGGTCCCAGAGGCGACGGTAGCAGCAGCAGGAATCCCCGTGCTGGCCCATTTGGGAAGAAAACCAAGGCCCCGGAGGTGGGCGGCCAGCCCGCGGACAGGCCTCAGGAAGCGCCCTGGGCCTACTTCTGTGACTTCCAGGATATCACGCACGTGGTGCTGAAGGAATGCCACGTCAGCATCCGCTGTCAGGACAACAAGAGCCTGGTGGGGCCTGGGGCTGGGGGCCTGGCAGGGGGTGGGGGCGCCTCTGGCCTGCGAGGCCTGCCTGATGTCCATCCGTCCGTCCCCACCCCACCCCCCACCCCCCGCCCTTGGCCTGCAGGAGCTGACCCTGCCTTCCCGGGCCATGGCCCTGTCCTTGGTGTCGCTGGTGGACGGCTATTTCCGCCTGACCGCCGACTCAAGCCACTACCTTTGCCACGAGGTGGCTCCACCACGGCTAGTGATGAGCATCCGGGACGGTATCCATGGACCTCTGCTGTGAGTGCCGGGGATGGGCACGCGGGTGACGGGGGGCGAGGTGGCGGCCGCCAGCTAGACTGTCAGCTCTAGGCACGGGGAGGCGTGACTGCGGTGCGTGCGCCTGTTCCTGTGTATTCACGTCTTGGTGCGCGTTCATGTTAGTGCGTGTGTGTTCGCGTGTGCACGTGTGGGAGTGCGCGCACTCGCGTGTGCATGCATGCAGATGTGCACGCCAGGGGTGTAGGGGGAGAGAGGGCGCCCGCGGTGGTGTGGACACGTGTCGTGACGGTACCGGGGTTTGGGACTGTCACCGTGCACTTCTGCACGTTTAGCAGCCCGCCTGGCGCGTGGCCGTGCTTTATGACTGCGTATAAAATCGTCGTTGGCTGTCGTCGCGGGTGATGGGATGGGTGGTTTTTGTGGAGCTGTGAGTTGCACAGACGCTGGTGGCCATTCTCACGTCCGCGTGAGCGTTCACATCCCTGCGGGTGTGTGTCTGTCCCGGTCACTGGAGGTCCCTGCCTGTGCGGCTCCGTCCGGACACGTGGGGTGGAGAATGTGCGGTGTCTGGGCTTCAGGGGCTCCTCAGACATGCGTGTGGCCGTCCTGCATGCTGCTGGGTCAGAGGGTGTGACTCTGAGCTTATGTGGTCATCATACCTGTGCCTGGCTGTCCCCCATCCTACCTGTGACAGCGGGACTAGCCGTTGAGATGTCTTGAGAGGTCTGACCCCTAGGAGCCTAGTCTCTATGCCAGAGGAGGGTGGAGTGGCCATTCTGTCTCTCTTTTTTTTTTTTTTTAAAGATTTTATTTATTCATTCATGAGAGACAGAGAGAGAGAGAGAGGCAGAGGGAGAAGCAGGCTCCCAAGGAGCAGG